GCGGTTCATTTTTAACACTAATAACAATAGAATAAAATATCTTATAAAAAATCAGACTAACAAGTTAAAAAATAAAAATAAAAATAGAAATAAAAATAATGATAACAAATGTTACAAAAAACAAATGGTTTGTTATACCATATATGACATGAATATCTGAAAGGTTTAATAAAATAATAAACGATCTTAAAACTTTCATTTTTTAATTTAAACAAACTTGGATGCTTTATAAAAGGACTCAAAGACGTTCTCCCAACGAATAAAAGAATCAATGTTATAAAATAAAATGTAATGATTGCGATGCTACATGCATACGATAGACATGCAAACATTTCAAAACCAGAATTTCTGAACATTGCAATTGTATTAATAGAAACATAACGACCAAATCGATAATCACGGATCACAGAATCAATAAACAACCATGAATTGGGAGAACGTAAAAATTATTGACATAAAAACATTTTTAGACAAAAGGCTAATATCTGAAATGTTGTATATAAAAAGACAGAAGAATAGCATTAACTTACAGTCAAACACTGAGTTCTTACATCACGCATACGTGTCAATAATAAACAAAATATAAACAGGTTCTGTCCGCCATGATTTCGTATTAAGTATCATTTTGGCTGCGTTCCGCTTAACACTCGCAACGATCGCGAGCATCGTTTGTCCTTATTTAATATTTGATAAACAATAGGATAAAATGATTCCACGAGCGTTGCCAGCGTTAAGTGGAACGCACCTTTTGACTCTAACATTCGTTTAGTTCGCTCGTATCTTCGTTAATTGTGACAAAATTTCTAAATATTATACTCAAACTTGTTAATTCGACTGATCGTGGTTTCTACCACAAATCTCGGCTCCTTTTAGTAAGTCTTTCTATTAAGTTTCTTTTAAAATATATTAAATGAGTATGGTCTCGCAGGATCCAAAATCACTTGGTTTTGCAACCATTGTGAGAGACATACATATGATTTTCCAAGTGAAGCTTGAGACAATAATCACATGTACGAGTAATGTATCCACTGATGATGGCTCGAAATGATGTCGAAACGTTTGTTATTTATCGATTAATAAATCACTGATAATTTTGTTGCGCTCCAATTACTGCGTTTGACTCTCATTACTAGTGTATACTTTTCCTTATATATTGATTTATACACGTGAGAGCGAATGAATACAAATATGACGCTGCCCAGCGTGGTCTTCAAACATAAAGACGAAATCGGCAGTCTATTTATAGAACCGTGCATCATTTTGTAGAAGAAACAAAAATTGTTTTCAATGGAGTAAGTTATTACACTGTAACAACCTGCCCCGATCGAAGTGTAACAACTTGCCCCAATTTTCCATTTTTAATTTGAAAAAATACAGATCGAAAATCAGTACATAATATCGATTCAAACAAAATGTGTTATTATAATCAAATGTATATCAAAGAAATATACAAAAGGATAATCACCTGTAACTTATATATACCTGTAACTTATATATACAATAACACAGGCAGTTTATACAATGAAATATTTACTTTTAATAGTGAAAATCAAAAAATATATGTCGTTTAGAATTCAAACATGGCTAAACTAAGTGAACTTGCTGACTAGAGTCTTTTATTATAAAAAAAATTTTTATAATACTCATTTTTAGCAAAGTTATAAGAATTAAGCTATGCTTATGCTGGGTTATTCTTGTAATATGGTGTTTAAGTTTTATGTGTAATAATCCTATACCCAAGGAGAACAAGAAAATCAATAAAAATATAATAATGTCAATTTGACCGAATATATGTCATTTTTTGGTCATAATAAAAATTTCTCAAATGATTTAAGAATGATTTTATATATAATTTATTTATATATAATTTATCATGACCAAAAAAAATACATAAATTCGTCAATATGACGTCAAATTGACATTGTTTTGATTTTCTTGTTCTCCTTAAGTACTGTCTGTACTTTACTTTTTTATTAAATATATACACGTAATCACATTTGTTATTGCTAAATATATTATGGGTAGAATATTCCGAAATATTTTGGATGTATAAGTCACATAACTCACCACAGTATAAGTAACGGTGAAGCAAACAGCGTCATATATAATTGCAATAATATTTATCCAATATATTTTCGTTCTTACCTCGAAGATTATGTACCTTTGTTCCTCTAAAAATGTGAACGTCAATGTCAGCCATATGTATTTCTTCCCTCGTAATTGCCGTAATGAAGCTGTAAATATTTTTTACTATGTCGCGATACTCGGTCTTATTACTGAAAAAACTCTTGTCGATAACGACCGCTGCAAGATTTAAGGAATATTTTATTATAATATTACAACAGTGCCGACATTAAAAATGATATAAAATACAAAAGAGGAGAAGAGAGTCATCCATACCCATCGAGGCATTAGTGGACATCAGCGACGGAAAGTCACTGAAAGCGTCACCCGAATTTAAGATCCACGCAAGGAAGAAGACAGAAATCATATTCATCGACAGATCGTATTGAAACCTGTCGTGCAAACCGACATGATATATAAGCAAGAACATTGTTCAATAATATATAAGTTTATTACTTCCGCCAATTTATTATTATCGCATTAACCGGAATTTCATTAAGCCTTGTCGAAACGCAATCGTAGACTGAGCACGCTTCTATTCCGTAGTTTGTATCACGAATCAAGAAAAAGGTCGATTCCTTTAATAATTTATCGAGGAGCGATCGAATCTCATCACAGCTTGGAACGGAGTCATCATTGGCCTACATGGAGATACTAGACTGAATTAGAAAAATCATCACAGGAAAATAAAATGGATCAAATATTCAATCGATGTTTCATTGGCCCGGAAATACTACTCACAGGATAAAAATTATCTTCTCTATATAGTTATTTTAGATCGTAATTGAGCTAGAAGATTCTCGCGATCATTG